GATTCTCGAAATTAATCAATCTCCATGCATCGGCGTACGTCTGATGACAAAATTTCACAAAAAGCTTATTTTCGTTTGTATTCATGCGTGACGCAGGTTTGAGCTTTCATCACAGATTATCACAACCTGGATTTCTATCGGGCAAACATAACGCAGACATAAAGTAGCATTTCTTGTAACCATGGTTGTGGAACTTGTTAAAAACTTTAAAAGTCCCTTCTTATGTCTCAGCTTACTTGCCGACAATGCTTACGCCGCATAGGAATGGAACAAAACCTCTGCTAAGGCTTTACAGATACTATCATTTCAGGGCCTCTAAGACGAAGGAATGCGACTTGGGACATAGGTGCGGACCTAAACTACGATCCTGGCATATCACTAGTCTCTTTATTTGAAACAGCGAACATAATTACCGATCGCTTTTCAGATGAAGTTATTTTATCTAATGTTTTCTACAGTTAAAAATTAATCGTCAGAAATTTTATCAGATAAGACACGAAAATAAGAAATCTCTTGATGATGCATGAAACCTCAAGAAAATTTTCAGGAGAGGTACATATTCACGTGCATAACCCAAACCCTAATATCAGTCCTTGACTCTATCCCTAAGCTCTCGAAAAATAAACCCCAAACCCCCGGGAATAAAGGGGTGTTTCTGTTCCCATATCTTGTTTTCTGCCTACTGTGATAATATTTTATGTCCAAACACCGAGATTTAATTACGTCCTCCGGTGTATAGTTCCTTTATTTCTGTTTAACCGTAGGTACGTCTGCTGGTTGCTTTCACTGATAAATAGGTTTCAAACCCTTTTTGGTGACGAGCTATTCTGACAAAACCTGTCATAAGGCTATGCTCGAGTGATGCGATTATAACATACCTAATGCTTTAATAAACTGACTTTTTAGGGCAGTCTGCTCTTTTTATTGGAAGCAGAATTTGGATACCACGGAAGCCAGTTGAAACAAAATAAAAACTCGTTACTCCTTTTAGCGCTGTTTATGCAGAGTTTACGTCACTCACGCTAACACTGACTTTGTGCCGCATAATATATCTAAAAAAGCCAAATCACGCCTTTGTTGGTGGTCAGTTCTGCTCAATGGACCACACTGAGAACCGTTTTACGGAAGTTAACGCTTCTGCGGGCTGGCTAGTCAGAATGCTACACGCAATTCCCACAGATTTCAATAGCATGCAATCCATTGAAGCGATCTTGCTGTATCGTTTTACTAGCAATAAATTATGTTGCATAGGGTGTGAGTCAG